GGATTTGGTAGGAGGGTGTGCATCCGTGGCCGTGCGCGTTTGGGAGTCTGTGGGGGCATCCCGGTTTTGGCATGTTGACCCTTTCCGTTTCTTAGCGGTGCCTTTGTGGCCGATGAAAACCTTGCGGCTGCAGGAGGGGCTTGTGGGAGACAGGCAGCGTGTTCCTAGGTGGGTGTAGGGCGTCTCACCAGAAGCGGGACCCGCTGGGTGAGCGCGCCTGCAGGTATCTGTGGGGTCTGATTTCCCCTGCCCAGCTGGGAACGTGAGCTGGGAGCACAGACTGCTTTGCAGGGCTCTGCCAGCCTCCTAATGAGGTGTCCTAAAGGCTGTAGTTTCACAGTGGTTTGACAAAGTCTAAACTAGAGCTGCTACAGTGCCGTGCTCCTCTCCATCCTGTTCTGCTCGAGTGTTGATGCCTGTACAGTTGCATCAGCTTGTTCATAGGGTTTGATCATAACATAACAGCGGGTAGATTTAGATTGGATATCAGGAAAAAATTCTTCCTGGGGAAGGTGCTGAGGCACTGGAACAGGTTGCCCAGACATGTTGTGGATGCCCCATCCCTGGAAGTGTCCAAGGCCAGGCTGGATGAGGCTTTGAGCAACCTGGTCTAGTGGAAGGTGTCCCTGCTCATGGCAGGGGGGTTGGAACGAGATGGTCTTTAAGGTCCCTTCCAACCCTAACCATTCTGTGATTCTATGATTTCTACCCCCCCTATCCCCCCGCTTAGTCCTTTTTCTGGGTTTAGCTTGTGTGAACACAAGTGCAGGTGCAAAGAGACCAAGGTGCTGGTCTCTTTTGCCCTATCCTAATGCAGAACTACACCCCTGATGTTCTGCAAAGCATTATGTTTACTTCGTCTGCACTGAAACTTTTCCTTCTCATTGGGGTGCTGCTGTGCAATTCAGAGGAGGATGATTTCAAGACATAAGCCTGGTGGAGAAAACAAATACTTCTAAAAGGAGATAGCTCCCCAGGTGTGGGGGTGAGGAAGCCCACAGAACTGAAGCTAACACACACAGCAGTATCCCTGAAGGCTTTGCTCACTGGGTGTTCATGCTGGCTGTTAGCCTGCACCTTCCAAGTTACCAAAAAAAAGAAAAAAGTTACCTCTTGAGTAGGCTCAAACCTCTTACGCAGTGATCCAAGGCCTTTTAACCTTTCACGGGAGCCAGGAGGGGCTGAAAATAACCCAGATACTAATTTCTGGAAGCGGGGGGGAGGGAGGATAAAGAGCAATGGAGAAGTGTCTCTGCAGCACTCGGCCGCGGGTGTCGCCAGCGGGGCCGTGGGGTCTGGCTGCGGTGTGGGTGCGAAGCGGCTAGAGGGCACCAGGCACCAAGGAGCAGTGTTGGAAAAGCAGGCTGTCAAACGCCTCCCCCCTGGGACAGACAGGGCACTGCAAATGGTGGCTGGGCTGGACTGGGAGAGAGGTTGTCGTGGTTTAACTTTGACAGTGAAAGCTGTCTGCTGGGCATGAGCAGAAGTAGCATTTTATTAAAATATGTTTTGAGACAAGTTTTGTTTTTCCATGCTGATTCTGTTTGCAGCTGCCAAGCCCAGATAGAGCGAGCCCCAGCCACAGTGCACTTCTGCAAGGCAAGGCTCTCAACCGCATAGCTCTCCTTTCCTAGACACCTAGCTGTTCAGCTGCAAATCTGTGTCATAGTTACACTTACGTGTTCATTTTATATCAAAACAATCTCTACAGAGTTTAGCTTGCTTTTTTTTGACAGCAATCTCTGAAGATTTTCACTGGTTTTTGGAGGGCTTGAGGGGGTGTTGGGGTTATTTTGGTGGTGGTGGTTGGTTGGGGTTTTTTTTAGTTACTTGAGGATTGGACAGAATTTGTGCTTCTGAATTTTTGGAGACAGTCATGGTCAACCACTTCCCTTTTCAGCCCTGCCCACAGGTGCCCATTGCCATTGTCCTCTGCTTTTATGCTGTGGTGATCAAGAACTGTTGTCCTCTGCAAACTGTGCAGCTCTCAGTTATTCCCTTGTAGGTGTTGCTGCCCTCAGAGGAGCAAACAGTTTAAATAGTAAGGGCAAATGGGGCATAGCTACGGTCTAGATCTTGGAAGACTTTTTCCAATGAGCCATACTATCTTGCAGGACACAAAATATCCATAGGCATATAATTTCTGAATAGTAACAACCTTGATTTAGCAGCTTCTGTGTTTTTATTTTTTTCTATGCACTCACATCTGGTTATCGAGGCTGCAAATTCTGTAGGCATTGGGGTAAGAAAGATGAATTGGAGGGAAGGAATCAGCAGGCTGAGGAAAGGAAGAGTTGCCCTGAGGTTTTTCTGTGCCTCAGTCTCCTGTGGGAAAGGAGTTACTATGTTTATTTGTTCATCTGCTAATTGAGTTGAAAAGACAACCTCCTTTGACTGGGATTTAAAAATCTGCAAGGGAGCAGAATGTCATAATCCCAAGAATGATTTCTGTGCTGCATTGAGCCAAACAGTGATTGTGTTGCATTTGCTGTTGTAGGAACAAACCCACAAGATTTTTGTGAGGTGTAAAAAACATGATGTTTTAAAGATCTTGACTGTGCTGTTCCCCTGAGCGCTTTTCTAGGAATTTGCAGTACACTCTGTTTTGTGAAATGTGTGTAGGCTCTAGGGGTATAACTGTTAATCTTAATGCTGTTTAAAAAGCGAGGGGGATCCCCTTTGTACAGAGATGGGATTAAGCCATTGCTGCCTCTTAGGTAACTCTTGGCTCTGTTTGATTACCAGGCTGTGGTGAAAAGTTGTCTTTGAAGAGATCTTCCTCTCTCTCTTCCTTGGGCTAGCTCAGATTAATGCACATAACTCATGGGATCACCCCTTCCTGTTAGGTGTCCCAGACATGTTTGTATTTTCCCAGAGTAGTGGCAGGTTTGGTTTTGGGTCACTGGGGTTGCGAATGAGTCCTGTAGAGGTGGAGCAAGCTCAATTTTGATAAACAAGGAGAGGATTTTGCTTTAATGTGCACATTCAGAAGGACCCAGCCATTATTGAGCAACTTCAGTATTGCAGTTGAAAGTAAAAACACTTTAATGTTGTGTATATTAGTAGGATAAAGATGCTGAGAGGTAATAATGAAACTGGAGGTAACCAAAATTGAGTTGTTTGACTCAATCAGTATTAACTTCCAGTGGTTGGATACACTGTGAATCTGCTTCAGGTAATTTTTGCTGAATGCAGGGTCAGAGGTTGTTCAGAAGTGCTTTAAATATTGTTATGTGGGTTTTATTTGTGTTGATTTTTTTTTTCCCCTATAGGTTCTGAATGAGAAAAAGCTCCAAGAAGTTGACAGTTTATGGAAAGAATTTGAAACTCCTGAAAAAGCGAACAAAATGTAAGCAGCTCTATGTGGGGACAGAAGCCTGGCTTTTGGAAGGACATGACTGTCTGTAGTTTTGCACATCTGAGATTCAGAAAGAAGTATTGATTTTTATTTTTCACTATTGTAAAACCTAAAAGCTTTAAACAACAATAACGTGAAGTCAGATACTTAGAGAAACTTAAAATGGAATATCAAAGTGAAAGATTGCACTTTTTTCCCTTGCAGTGTAATTAAGCTGCAGAAGTCATTATCATGTGTCACTGAAGCAAAAAATCGAACAACACTTTAAGACTATCTGGATGCTTGGATGAGAACATCCAAGCTTGTAATGCTGGGACTAGCTGAAATGACAGGTTTTTGTGCTCACAGGAAGTGCTTTAAAAAAAAAAAAAAAAAATTCAGCTGAAACTAAGAGCATGTGAATCACTGAACTGAGAGTTAGTGTCATTGCCCATGCTGTCGGTATGTGTTAGCACCACTGCGTAGCCGCATGGGGGTTGTGGTGTCCACTGACTAAGCTGGCCTTTCTACCAAAGTGTCCTACAGCATGGGACGACGGTGGATTCCTTCCAAGTCTGTCTAGGCTGTTTTTATTGGAAGGTTTCTAACCGGTTTTGGTTATGATGGATACCTCTGAACAAGCTATGCCTTGTGATTTGGATCTATCCTGCTCTCTAACAGTATTTAGAAGAGAGGTCAGAATATCCCACATCTGCCTCTTTGTAGCGTGGTTAATCTTGTCTGGGAAACACTGATGACTTGCTAGACAGGATGTGCCTCTTAATGGATCTCTACTATGATCAAAGTAATTCCTATCTCCTGCCCTTCTGAAAAGGCATCAGAATAAGCCTGGAGCTTCTGTTGGGCTCTGCGAATGCTTAACTCAAACATTCAGCCTTATCTGTGACCTTGCTTCCTTTGCAGATACTTGACTCACAAAGAGCAGTGGTTAATCAGAACTGGATTAGTCAAATGCCTGTCCCTGACAAGGAATTTACTGGATTGAGATAGCTTCTTAACTGTAACTTTAGATATCAGCACCACAGACTGTGTGAGGGGGAGAGGGAAGCTGGGCCTGAGGATCTGACACAGTGTGGTGAAACACTGGTTTTTGGCTCGGGTCAGCAATTAGGGCATAGAACAATTTTCTGTTGTTTGTTCTCAGTTCAGCTCAGCGCTAGTATTGTAACATCTAATTACAGGGGAGGACTTGAGGATTCACGGGCAATGAATCAGTTCAGTTTTGAAGTCTTTGAAGATGCATTTAGTTGAAAAGCATGTTAAATCTGAGATGTGCAGGCTATGCATTCCACAGAGGCAGAAGGTTCCCTTTTGAACACGAGTGGGAAGATGCTATCATCAATCAGCAGTGACACCTAGTTAATCAGGGTGCAGGACTGAAATTTAAATGGATGGTGTCTGTCTTTAAATATGAGCTGTGGAACAAAACGGGGACTTAGGTTTTCTGTTTATGTTGGTCCTAGAAATATTAAATCAAAATTCCTTTTGAGAAGTCACATCAGGCTAAAACTTAATTGGCAGGTTTAATGTTCTTCATTCGTTTTGAGGATCTGGCTATCAATCTCTGCTCTCTTGGAGTCTTAGGGAGAAGAGTGGAACTGTAATAGCAGAAGCAGAAAAAAAGTAAAATGATTACAGCATCTGGTTTATGTACGTTCATTTACACACTTGTATTTTTCTTCTGTAGAGTAAAGCTGAAACACTTCGAAAAATTTCAGGACACGACAGAAGCACTTGCTGGTAAGTGAGTTAACACCAGCCTTACAAAAAAACCCCAAAATCCCCAACGCCTGTTACGTACTAGTTCACTCTTTACATACTTCTGTCCCTGCTCTGTTTCTTTGCTTTGTTTTTAAATGACAAACAGTTTTTGTTTAATGAGGTCATCCATCCAGTCTATAGTGCAGTAGAGATGTAATGACGTCTAGTTCTTTCCTACTGTGCTTATTTCCTGAGCAGCTCACTAATGAGCGCTGTGTGGAAGGTGTTGACTGGTGTCTGTAGCCTGTTGTCAATGATGGATTCTTGTTGAAGCTGAGCATAACTGATTTGAGTCAACACTTCGTCACTACCACTGAGACAACAGACAGATATCAGAGTACCTACATTACTACAACTGCCCTTGTTTTATGGGCATGTTACGCTTGTGGGTTTTTTTTTTTTTTCAACCTTAAAAAAACCCTGTATTTCACTTAAAAGAAATTCAGGAGTTTAAAAAAAAAAAGGAAACCCTTATATTCACTAAGTTTTGCTAATTCAACACTTAACTGGTTGATGCTGTGGACTAGTTTGAACGGAAATGATAAAAGCTCTAGCTAATCGTTCATAAATGGTGTGGCTTACTGCTGAATGTGCTGTATGACATCAGTAGGTGGATGTTCCAGGTCACTTGTACGACTAAAGAATGGATCTTCGTATTCTGATGTGGTAAGGGATGGCTTACAAAGGAAACTAAAGAAACCAGAAGTGAGACACTACCATTGTACATGAGATGCAAGTGAAACACCTGAGATTGAAGCTACTGTATATTCCTTTTCCTGGCACATTTTTTGGATTATGTTGCTTTGGCATATGTTTGGATTCAGATCTTGTATAGTTAGGCTGCTAAAAAAAAACACAAACGAAACAAAACCTCACAGAACAACAACAACAAAAAAAACCCCAGCCCACAATAAAAACCCTGCCCTTTTCAGGTTTACTTATCTGTGAAATAGGAGAGATTATTAAGACTACCTGTGTCACAGTTATTTTGAAGAGAAGACTCTGTGGCTGTTTTAAGTGGTCTAGGAGCTATTGGCTGGCTTAAAGGTTGGAACTTGTCTCTGCTGTAGCCAGGTTGAGAGGAAACTCAGGACAGTACTTGGATTTTACCCTCACATTTCATTAAGGTTCTGGAAATCAAAAATCACTGGCTTCTGCTCTATTTACTGGGATAAAAATGTTGCATCAGTCACAGAAGTTCAGTGGAGCACAGAGATAAATGTCTGCTTAAAATATATTGAGTGGGATCGTAAAGCTTTTACAGATCTATTAATACTTGAGAATGAAGAACGTGCTTTTAAAACTCTTTGGTCGACATGCTATATTGAAAGGGTCCGTGTCTGACTGCCCAGTCAGCGTGTGTGCCATCATTTTTTGTTCGGCTTTAGATAATAAGTTATCATCATCAGAGGATACAACTAAGCCATTGCTCGATTTAGGATATCATGGGTGCTGACTAAGGGACCTGGAAAATAGTTGGTTAATGAAATGATACACAAAATATTCTCATATAACCTTGCATTCAGAAATGTTAAAACATGTGTCTAAAGCATATGGCATACTGTTTATAGACATCCTTAAACAAAATTGACAGAAATAGAACTGGAACCACATGGAGAAAGGAGAGGCAACGGGGAGAAGGGTTTTTGATTTAGGCCTCCAAAGAGGCAAGTATATAATTTTCTTCTATTTTGATTGTAGCCTCTGCATGGCAAAGCAGTATTGTACTTCAGACTAGACCTACTGTGGGCAGTTAAAATAAAAATGCCAGGGTAGGAGTACTATTTTTACAGGTTTTAGGAGGGGAAATAAAATGCATCTTCGGTCTTTTTGTTTTATACAGCATCCACAGCTCTTGTAGAAGGCAAGCTCAGCAAGAACTTGAAGAAAATTCTCAAGAAGATAGTGGCAAAAGATGCCCATGAACAGTTGGCTGTAGCAGATGCCAAACTTGGAGGTGTCATAAAGGTGATAACTGATTTTGCCATTCTTCCTCTTGTCTCCTGCTACTGAAATCGTACCATCAGGTTCCAGAGATTTTGCAATTAGCAGCACTGATTAAGCTGCCAGTGCTGTGTTTGCCCTGTGGAAGAGTGCATTATGATCAAATGTGTACTGCATGTATAATGGGAAGATGTTGTCTTGAGTACACAAGTGAATGGTATGGTAGAAGTGCACTGAGGTGTTCTGGTTTGCTTGATTTCTCTCTTCAATATTGGTTAGAAACCCAGCAGATAAAAAAATTCATTTCCCTAATGATCCTGTCCAGAAAAAGAGGGAGGGGAGGAACCAAACAAAAACCCCAGCCAGGCAGACACTTATTCCTCAGTAACAGGTGCAGCTGTAGTGGGGTGCTGACAGTGTCTTGTTGGGAGTGTGTGTTGTTCTACCTTCCTCAGTCTACAAGCAGTTGTACACATCCTTCTGCCCTTGCCTACCAGGGGAAGGAAGTGCAGTAGAGGTGGACTCCAGTGTCTCCTAGATGTCAGATACCAGGTTCCCATCTTGCGTCTCATTGCTCCCTGTTCCAGTGATTTTTATTCCGACCACCTCCTCATGCTGTCTTAGGAGACTGGTGTAGGCTGCAAAATGAGGAGGATTTAGTGCCAAAGTGAGTAATACCGAAGATTGATCTAATTGTTTGGTTTTGTTCTCTGAAAAAGATCCAAAGCCCCCAGCTATCTACCTCTGAATTTTCTCTGTGGCCAAACTGTTTCTAGCAAGCTACAAAATCTTGAATGTTTGGTTCCAGTGTCTACATAGCAGATAGTGTCAATTATAAATCTCCTCTTCAAACTGGAATTGTTACTGTGTGGGGAGCTGGGGTGTCACTACCTTGAGCATCAATGATGACAAAGTGTTGTGTGGTCACAGGATTGCAGTGGGAAAACCAGGTATAATGAGATAAGGCTACTGGGAGAAGGGCTTTAGAGGAATGTTGTTGTCATGCCTGACTTCAGGCCATTGATTTCCATCCTGCAGGACAAGCTGAATTTGAGTTGTATACACAGCCCAATGGTTACAGAGCTGATGAGGGGAATTCGCTCACAGATTGAAGGGCTTATTACAGGCCTCCCTGCTCGAGAGATGGCAGCTATGTGTCTGGGTCTGGCGCACAGGTGAGTTCCTAGAACAGCTCTATTTCATCCCGTGTCTGCCCTGCTCCTGTGTCCTTGACTGTGCTCTGTTGCTTGTGTGTCTGAGTATGTGGCATGGTCTCATACACGCCAAGTCGAGACGTACTTGTATCTGAAAGCTGATTTTGCAAAGGAAGGGCTTTCCAGGTCGTACCCACCCTTTAGGGAAAGGCTACGTCTTCACCTGAAAGCTTGCCTTTGCTTGTTATGTACTTTAGGATTTGGATTGAAATGTCTGTGTAGCAGACAGATGGGTCATGTAAAACTGTTGCCACTGAGAGACAAGGTGAAGACCGCCATTTGCTGGTTTATGACAGAATAAATAGCCATATAATACGTAATGTAAGTGTTAAAGTAGAGTTGTCTTCCCACCTTGCTGTCACCTCCTTTTAGGTTTAGTGGAGCGGTAGTTAAATACAAAGTTGTTGGATCAGCATGGGGTCAAGCATTCATGCACGAGTAACTTTTAATCCATACTTTGACATGATCTTGTTTTGTCCATGAGCCTTTGGCAAGATAATGAACTGCTTTGCTGTAGCTAATTCCTTAAAAGTAGATGCATCATTGCTTAGAAAATGGGCATTAGTGTTGAAAAAGGATGTTGAAGATGCAAGTCCTCATTGATATCGAGTGTCTTTTACTGGAGCATACTGAGAAATTTAAAAAATACATTAAAGCCAGATGGTAATGGGCTTTCTCTGACAGTGGGAATCTGTTCCAGGAAGTTTCTTCTGTTGCTTCACATTAGCATTGCTGATATTTGCTGCTGGGTAGGTACAGTTTTGTGGATTGCCTCCAGCCGCTGCGGAACTGGAAGTGCTGTTGACAAATACTTTTTGTGGGGAACCATGCAGAAAGAAACCAACAGCCAATTTCCTGCCACAGCACTCGTGCAGTCTGCCGCACGTGGTACCGATAGCCTTAACTTTCCCTTTCACCTTGGTCATGGGCTATGTGCCTGTCAAACTGTTGTGAAACTTGTGTCAGTGTGGCTTCTGGCCACAGCTGAGAGCAGTGGCATAGAACTGAGCTGGTACGAATGAATGTATGGACAGATATATTCATGTAAAAGTGGAACAGGTGGGACATAACCTGCAGCAGGATGTCAGGATGTTGATGAAACTGTATTTCTGTTTCCTCAGCCTTTCCCGATACAAGTTGAAATTCAGCCCAGACAAAGTAGATACCATGATTATCCAGGCAATTTGTAAGTATATTTAGAGCTTAAATTATTAATGGTTCAGTTTAGGACAGCTGACTTCTTAATGTCGGCTATGGAAAATTATTGCAGGTGATTTCCTCCTAGCATGTTGCAATAAATTGGGTATCTGTGTTCACCTAGGCAAAAGGTGTGTTTGCTTAATAGGGTTTTCTGCAAGCAGGAACATTTTTAGGGTGATACAGTGAACTGGCACCCACTTTTTCATAGCATATGGATCAGCTGAAATACAGGCAGTGATAGTTCAGTCCTCTAGGGACTTCACTTCCCAACATGCTTCCCTTCTGAGTAGTGTTGGGAGAATAGGCCCCACAGGACAGGAATTTTTTGACCCTTCATTTTGGTGGCGTTTAGCATAGAGGGCAGTGTAGAAATAGGCTGTCATGTTAGGCATGTAAAACCCGCTGAGGTGTGTAATGCTCCATTACATCTCCTTACTTTTTTAATGGAAACCAGACTGAAATTGTAAACGCAGCTAGGAAAGCCCATTCCTTATTTTTCCTTGAAGACGTTCACAGCATAATCGGCATGCTTGCTGTGAAGCAGTGGTGAGGAATCCTGTTGGGAATATTAATTCCCAGACTGTTGTCAATGATGAAACGTAGTTAAGCTGAAATTAATGATTTAATTCAGTTCCTTCGTCACTACCACTGAGACAACAGATGGGAATGTTGGTATTGCGTTAGCAGGAAATATTTTGGCCTCAGGGCTCTGTAGCAATATATGCTGTGGGTGATATACTCCAATGCTGTAAATCCGGTTATTAGTCATATCTGGTGAATGGTGAGCCTGTTGGGTTTGTGTTGGGTAGGCTTTTAATATAAAGGCAACTAAAGGGCTTAATACAGTCTTGTAAATCAAGTAATTGAATACAGGATCACTTACCATTAAAACGTATTTCCTTAAAGTTCTAGATGGTTAAGTTTTACGTCTATCTTGTGTGTAGCACATTGGCTGACTAAGAGGAAGAATAACTGGCTGCTGCTCCCCTTCCAGGGGAATGTGCTTTGCAGCTGTTAAAGGAATCTGTCCAAGACAGTCCCAGTGATGAAACTTTCAGGACATATTCAAGGGAATTGTAGTATTTTGATAATATTATGCCTGAGATTATGCACTTCTCTGAAAAGTAGACTTGTACTGAAGATTATGTTTCATCCCAGTCCTTATGGGATAAAATACCTCATTTTATCTCCCTTTATACTATTTCAGTTGGTTTATTTGGGAGTTTTCCATTTTCTAGATTACCTTTTTAGAAAAAAGTCCATTCTTCTTTCTCTTAGCACTTCTTGATGACTTGGACAAAGAACTGAATAACTACATCATGCGCTGTAGGGAATGGTACGGTTGGCACTTCCCTGAACTGGGCAAAATCATCACAGATAACCTAACGTATTGTAAATGTGTGCGGAAAGTTGGTGAGTAATAAGGAGGCATGAGCCTGGAGAGCGTTGCATGTTAGTATGCAGTACACTAATGGCACTGATTTGTAGACCAGCGACTCAGTCACCCAGCTAGTCGTGGCCTGTACAGAATCCTGCCTTCAGCAGCAGTGTGAAGAGGCCAAGTAGAACAGTAGTGTGTGCATGCATCTGTGTGGTGATGCGATTTACAGCTTAGCTTAAGAGAAAGCTAATGCCGTATCACCAGTCGGTTCTTCATGGGCTGCCAGCACGTCTTCTTAGAATCACAATTAGACAGCAGACCAGTGTGGAAATTAGCTGCCAAAAACTGATGTAAGGAGAATTGCTGCCTGTTCGCGGGTGTTCTTGGAGGCAACAACTGTTACAATTATTCATACGAGCAGGAGGAATGACTGCTGTAATACTTTGGATGCTTGCACATTCTTAGGTATGTCCTTTATATTGATGATTTTTTTTTTTAAATAATGAAGTTTGCAGTCCAGTGAGAGACTTGTGATTTTTAAGGGAGCTTTTTCCCCAGTTGTAGGAAGAATTATTTAGGTTTGGTTAGTGGTCATAGACTGCTCGCTTCCTGGAATTCTTCCTTTGTAATCTTGCGACTGTAGGTTTTGCAGCAGGCAGCTACTGCAAAGATGAAGTGTGCAGTGTTACGGAGTAAGGGGTGTTTTTTCTAGTTTCTAGTTTAATATTTCCAAGCATTCTCAGCTAGTCTAAACATAAAGTCAGAACATTGACATGTATTTTGGGAATTTGGAATAGGATGATGGCAGACTTGACTCACTGTTGTTGTTTTGGCCTTTTATCTTCATCTGTTTCTGTGCTTTTTTTACTAGTTCATCTCGCCCCCAGCACAAACATGCTTTCATCTGTCCCCCACAGGAGACAGAAGCAATTTTGCCTCCTCTGATGTTTCTGACATCCTACCAGAGGAGATTGAAGAGGAAGTGAAGGCTGCTGCTGAGATTTCCATGGGGACAGAAGTATCAGAAGAAGATATAAACAACATAATCCATCTCTGTGATCAGGTATGTACACATGGATAAACAGCAATAGGAACTCCACTTTACCCGTATCAGAGTCTCTTCTCCCATGGAGAGGTTTTCCCAGGGTGTTGTTAACACACTTGTGATGGCAGTGATGATTCCTATGTTGTTGCTTTCCTGAGGTACAGACATGAGGGTGCACAGTCACTACCTCATCTGAGCCATCTCAGACTGTTAATGTCTGCACAAAGTTTTCTGGAAGTGTCAGTCTTAATTTTGGAGCGGGAATTTTGGCATCCTTGTGCTTTTAAGTCTTTGAGATAATGGTACTGTAGAGACTCTTCTTAACCTGTCACTTTAACCTGAAGGTAGGTGATAAATCCTGGGTAAAATGTGGAGCACTGAGGCCCCAAAAGAATTTGGACCCCTATCCTGCTTTCATCTGGATTGTATGTGAGCTCCCTTTGACTTTCATGGTGCTGGTTGGATCCCTTTTTGACTTTACCAAGGAGTGGCAGGATTAGGAGTTCCTGGTTTTGGTCTAGACTGGGCTGCTTTTTTATGTGCATTCTAATTGTGTGTGTATTTGCATGGAACAAGTAAAGAGCATTTATCCCATTTCAAGAGAATGGCGGCAAAGATTTATGTGAAAACTCAATGTTCCAGGGTTTTGTCCTAGAGAAAATGTCCTTGCTAAGTGTTTTTGTTCTGCTTCACTGTCTTTGGTCTGTTGTCTGGTCCTTTATCAGGAACTTTGAGAAAATAAGTTGCTTAAGAGCAGAAGCAATACAGATCCAATATATCTTGTGGATGGAACTCTGCTTTGGGAATATGTCCTATATAAAGCTTTCTGTAACTCTAACCCTGTCTGCATTTTGAGTTTTGTTAGTCTCCTTCGTTGGATTTCTCAGCAATTCCCCATTTCAGTATATTTAGCTCTTAATATTTTTTGGTCAGTTAATGCTCATTCCTGTAACCACACTCTCTCTGTGCCAGGTGATTGAGATCTCGGACTATCGCACACAGCTGTATGACTACCTGAAGAACAGAATGATGGCCATTGCTCCTAATCTCACCGTCATGGTGGGTGAACTGGTTGGAGCGAGGCTCATTGCTCATGCAGGTGGGTTACACTGGTCAGTGTGAATAAAGCTTAGATGACCTAGTCAGAGGTTTTCTCTGAGGAGCTGGTCAGCTAAAAGCATAATGCAAAGCCCTGATGAACATCTGATAAAGTGGAGGGGAAGGTAGCTCTTGAGGAATCTGAGAATCCTAGCGTGAGCTTGGTAGTAGTCTGTGATGATGATGATCTCAGTTGGCCTGAACTCTTTCTGGAATATGAGGGCAACCTAAGTCACTACCTCTTCTGAGACACTTACTGAGCTTCCTGCTCATGGTCTGTTCTCTTCTGAGGAAAAATGCTGACAAACTGGCATTAGGCTTTTCTAGTCTGAGTGCCTCAAGGCAGCAGCTTCATTTCAGTTATCTATGTTGCAGTTATGTGATGACACGTTCGTGCTGACAGACTTTGTCAGGAGTAAGCATTACTCCAGTGGAATATGTTTTATTGAGTCAGTCAGCTTTCCTGTTGCTGAAATCAAACCAAGACAGTTAGTTGAAGCATGAAAGACTGAAATGGCTTACTTGTCCTTCAGGAAATTAATGTGAAGCGGTTCCCATAGAAGTAGATGGTTCTGAGCTTCCTATGTTTGAACAGTGTAGGAATCTAGCCTCCTGCTTCTCTAGCTGCTCCTCTAACAAATTACTATCGCTGTGTCACCTCCTTCTAGGTTCCCTCTTGAATCTGGCAAAACACCCAGCTTCAACAGTTCAGTTACTGGGTGCTGAGAAGGCACTCTTCAGAGCACTGAAGACTAAACGGGACACACCTAAATTTGGCCTTATTTATCATGCTTCCCTAGTGGGACAAACCAATACCAAAAACAAAGGAAAGGTGAGTTGCAGAGTTGTTCACCAGTCTTTCTTTTTCCAGAGCATGAGTATCAGTCTAGGAGGTGGCTTGAGCTTCACAGTGAGACTCTCTGCATGGCTTGCTTTACAGTATTGCTTCATGGATACGTGAAAAATGCCGCTGTTCCACAGATCCTTAGATGCCATTCATTCCTGTTTGAAAAAGCAAATGGGATTGTCCATTGACACATCTGAGTAATAGCATGCAGTCCTGCTGGTTATGATGTAATGCTGACTTTCTCAAGGGATATGTTACTATTTTCTTCTAGTTGATAGCAAACTAAGCTCTTACAGGCTTTAGTCTTGCTTGGAAATTGGACTCTTGTGGTTGTGCTAAAGGCAGTAACTTCTGTGGCTAGCTTTGAAAGAGCTTATGCTTTTATAATGCAGGTGAATTAGCATGTGTTTGAATTGTGGAGAAAGCTCTCTGGCTGAGAATTACTACTCAGACTAACCTGAACTAAAGGTTGGGGTAGAGTGGGGTATGCATAATTAACTTGCTGTCTCAGATGTTTCCCTCTGTTTATCAAGACAGTAAGGTGTTACATTAACAGTATTTGAATGTTGAACTAATAATGTATTAATTGTTTTTTGGACTAAACACTGCTAGTAAATGGTTACTTTGTTCTTTTGTTTGTGGATATGGTTTCCAGATCGGAGTGAATCATTGCCTTATATTAAGTGTTAGCATTTTATGCTCTTTGGCTTTTCCAGATTTCTCGAATGCTGGCAGCTAAGACTGCTTTGACTATTCGTTATGATGCCCTTGGAGAGGACACCAGTGCTGAAATGGGAGCAGAGAACAGACTAAAAGTAGAGACGAGAATGAGGCTTTTGGAAGAGAGAGGGGTAAGTCTAGCAGAAAGCTGCATGAAGCTGATATTCTTGTTTAGGGTATGATTTCCTGATGCACTGCTTTCTGAGTCTTTCCCTTCACTCAGTGTGTGATCTAGTGTCACTTACTCTGTAGTTTCTCCCAACCTTGGCTGGAGCAGTAAGGTTTGTAAGCTGACTGCATCCATCTGCATGTCAGGTTTTTTTCTTGTTTACATGCCTTCACTTGCATTATACTGAGAAATCTTGATTCTGAACAAGATCAATAAGACCATGCCTAGTAGACGGACTACATCTTTCTATTAATTGCAAAGATGGTCACAGAAGGCAAAGGCAGGGATGGGTAGAATGAAGAACCGCCCACTGTAGGAGACGACCAAGTTTGAGACCATCTGAGGGTCCTGAAAGTGCACAAGTCCATGGGACCTGATGAGATGCCTCAGTGAGTCCTGAGGGAACTGGTGGATGAAGCTGCTAAACCACTACCTATGGTATTAGTGAAGTCATGGCAATCCGGTGAACTTCCCACTGACTGGAAAAGGGGAAACATAACCCCCATTTTTAAAAAGGGAAAAAAGGAAGACCCAGGAAACTGTAGGCTAGTCACTCACCTCTGTGCCTGGCAAGATCTTGGAGCAGATTCTCCTGGAAACTCTGTTAAGGCATATGGAAACTAAGGAGGTGATTGGTGACAGCCAACATGGCTTCACTAAGGGCAAATTGTCGCTGACAAATTCAGTGGTCTTCTATGATGGGGTTACAGCATTGGTGGATAAGGGAAGAGCAAGCGATGTCATTTACCTGGACTTGTGCAAAGCTTTTGACACTGTCCCACACAACATCCTTGCTGTAAACTGGAGAGACATGGATTTGACAGGTGGACTGCTCAGTGGATAAGGAATGGGCTGGATGGCCACACTCAGAGTTGTGAGATCTGAGTGGAGACCGGTAATGAGCGGCGTTCCTCAGGGGTCAGTATTTGGACTGGTGCTGTTTAACATCTTTGTCAGCAACAAGGACCGTGGGATTGAGTGCACCCTCAGCAAGTTTGCTGACGGCACCAAGCTGTGTGGTGCGGTCGACACGCTGGAGGGAAGGGATGTCATCCAGAGCGCCCTTGACAGGCTGGAGGGGTGGGCCACTGCCAACCTCATGGAGTTCAACAAGGCCAAGTGCAAGGTCCTGCACATGGAATGGGGCAATCCCAAGCACAAGTACAGGCTGGGTGGGGAATGGATTGAGAGCGTCCCTGAGGACAAGGGCTTGGATGTGATGATTATTGAGAAGCTTAACATGACCTGGCAACGTGTGCTTTGCAACCCAAAAAGTGAAACAAAAAAAAACTCTTACAAGACCCCACCTGGAGTACTGTGTTCAGCTCTGGGGACCCCAACATAAGGATGTGGACCTGTTGGAGCGAGTCCGAAGGGAGAAAGTAGGGTTCGCTTTCCTCTTCTAAGAGGCATGCCTACGGTGTGCGATCCTGAAATGGTGTCAAGGCTCAGCCTTCGAAGCTAGACGATCTGATACTAATGCTGTAGTACTGGCATCACTAGAATAAAAAAGAGGAAAATCTAGAAAATCTAGAAAAACCTGCCTCCTCCTTCTTGAGCCTTTAACAGGAGGTGATAGTTTCCATTGAAACAAAGGCAAGGAGACATGTTAATACCAAAACACAAACTGATCACCTGACAAGTACAAATTTAATAGAAATCCAGACTGGGGCCTGTATTGTGGCTTTAAGGTTGGCTTTATGCAAGGCATAGGGCGATACCTGCCCTGACATGTAGTTATCCTAGGAAAAAAAGAAAGTGTGCACAAATTTGAGCTGGTCTTGAGAATTTATAGGTATGATGTTTTATGTCATGTGGTTGTGGTATGTTTGATCCGGTACTAGGTACCCTTTAATTGACTTGGGCTCTTGAAGAGCAGTATTAGAAAGGCACATGCCTTTCTCACCCCAGTTACCTCCCTGTCACTATTCTACTCCCAGGCATAAGACTCATATAAGTAAAGAGCCTGACCAATAACATATGTCTATCTTTGAATTTTTAATTCCTTTCAAGACCAGTAGCACTTGTGTTGTGAATTGTTTTCATTATGAGTAACTTGTTTTTCATTTCTAAATTTTTCTTGTAGATAAGAAGAATAAGTGGCACTGGAAAAGCGTTGGCCAGGACAGACAAGTATCAAAACAAGAGGTGAATGGTTTTTCCTTTCAGCTTGGCTGAGTATAAATAACTCTCCGTGTTTCTGTTGCTGAGAAGCTTTTTGGCTGTGGGCTGAGTTGACTTAAGATCCAGAAAACATTTTCTGTGCTATTAAGTACTGATGACAAGTCCCATGGCTTAATGGGAATTTCCATTTTCCCACATTTTACCGTTGTGGTAAAGCCAGTGAACTGGAGAAACAGTCCTGACTTTCTAATAGTAAATTCCTGACATCATCAGATAACAAGTACATTTAGATGCTGTCAGCATCAGCCTGAAAAGCTGAATAATTTGGGGAGTTAATGTGTAGCAGCTTTCTTTAATGCAAGTCTGAAAATATTAGAGAAACTCAGAATTTTTGTCTTAATTCTTAAAGACCCCAAACCAGTTGCTTTGAGCAAAGCTTCATCTCCTTATTTGCATCTGGTAAGTAGCGTGTCTTGAGCAATAGATAAGGTCTGTACTCTGGACACTGTTAGAGCAGTTTCTGGTGCCTGAAGTGATGCTGTAAATTGCAACTGGGACAGCTGAACATTTAAGGATTTGAACAGGTTATTATTAGTTTGAGCTGCGACATCTGGGTGCTTTGCTTTGGTTGCAGGCTTCTTGCTTAGCTTGGCCTGCTTATTTTGCTGAACCTTTGGCGTAGAGTGGGTAAGTGCTCAGCAAAACCAGGGCTGGGTGCTACTTCTGTGAGGAAAAAAAATAGCGCTGTTGCACCCATTTGCCATCCCCAAACATCTTTCTCAAGCCTAGCTGTAACTTGTGTTGCCATATGTTAGGCATGGCAAAGTGTGGGGCTGGCTGGTTTCTGGAGTGGCTTTTGGAAAGACAGTGTCAGTAAAGGAAGCATCAGGGCATGTAACGAGGCAGTAGCTTAGGAGGAGGGTGGTGAGGAGACAACATACATGCTGTTTTTTGACATCTAGAAATGAGGAGTCATGAATTCTTGCCAGGACATGTTTCTACTGTTAGACATGCTTTGCAAACGTGTCTAGGCTTGGGGGAGAGACTGAAGATAGTTCCTGGCTGTTTGGCTTAGTCTGGCTGCTTAAAAGGGAAACGAATTCAGCCGCTGTCGAATTCTCCCTGCAGTACAAAAATGGCAGTACTGCTGCTTTAGGGAGATTGAAGGGCTAAACTAATATTTTTAGAGAGATTGGTAAGAATGTCCTAGTCTTGTATCGAACTGTGGCTCCTGTATGAATTAGTTGCATCAAAGTAATGTTTCAGAAGTTCATGTTGTTCTTAGGGATGAGCTTCAAGTGAAGCATTTCAGTACGCTTTCCAAAAAAAGATGAGTGTGTGTACCTAGCTTTGGCATACTTATTTGCTGATTTAAAAAAAAAAAAAAAATCATCACAAGGCAGCATTAGCCTGCCTTGTGACTTGTGCCCTCTGAACATAATGGTGGAGACACAGTGCAGGAGAAGCAAAAGTAAAGCTGTTTCTGATCCTGTATATACCTTAGGGTATGTTCATATGGACGCATCAAACTCTGGGGAGCTACATGCCCATGGCCATACAGCTGTGCCGATGAGGCTTTCGGCAGCAGAGATAGACCCTTGAACAGCTACAAACCAGAACCAAACTCTTAGTTTACTGGGATCTTCTGTTCAGATCAGACAGTTGTACTTCATGGGGTATCTCCTGTAGCCAGGATTACTGATGAACCATTCATGTGTTGAAGAAGGGGCCTCACTCCCTGTGTAGATGCTTTGTTAGCTGAGCAAGATGGATTTGTGAATACTCTCGAGAGGTTGTGTTGGAAAGTTCATGTTCAACTGCAGGATCTTACCTGGGGGCTATCTCTTCTTTTTGTTACTTAAACTGACTTGTTTTCTTCATTATAGCGAAGTGAAAGTATTTGACCCATCTGGTGACTCTACACTTCCTGCTGTTTCAAAGAAACGCAAAATTCAGGAGGTGGAGGAACAAGACGCAGACGTTGCTGTGAAAGCAAAGAAGTTCAAAGCAGAGATGAAAGGTTAGTTCCTGTGTCTGTGCCGCTGGCGTGTTGCTGTGTGCATCGTGCAGTGGGCCTTAACACTTACAGCCAGCCACAATACCTGGTTATTCTCCTTGGGTATGACAGTGTTTTAAAAAAAAGGTAATCTCTTACAGACCGACACCAGTCTGCAGTCAATTTACTTTAAATATCTGCTTTAAAAGAGTGGTAGGCATATTAGAACATTTAAGAACATAACTACTCATTCTTCTTGCAGACTTTCTTGCTCAGCAGGTTCATCTGTACTAGACCTCAGTATCTTGAAGACAAAAAAGCTCTTGTCTATACAACTTGCCCAGTTGTCTTTAAAGAATACTGGTTTATTCTGTATAGAAATGTTTTCTGGCATGTTTCAACATATAAACATTGAATATCAGAATTTGAGGCGAAATGACACCTGGAAATTTCAGTCTGAATTTACACAATACATGAACAGTTGTTATTTTCTGGAGAACTAAAACTGAACTATGGCCACAGTTCTTTCCTTCTCTGATAAGTTACTGTGTGAAGAAAGATTTTGGGCTGAGACTTCCAAATAATCTGGTTTTATATTGTGTTTCACTTTAGGAAACATTCTCTATCTTCTCTCCAATGGTGCACTTCAGCACTGCTAAATGGCCTAATACTTGCTGCAGTAGTGGAGTACCCACTGTGCAACTTTTGGGAGAGGATAAGAAAGATGACTTTGTTACTTCTGGGAGACCCTGAGCTAGATCTGGGTGTGAGCTACTCCCAAAGTGGGTCAACTACCCACACCTGCAGCAGGTGAGGGCTGTCAGCCTTCCATTTCTGCCCTTCTCTGGGCTGCTGTGTTCTAGAATATCCGACTGTAGTTCCGCTGGTTCTGTACCTCTTTATGCTCAGCTGATGCTGAGGTGTGATCTTCACAGGTGCTGGGTAGTTCATCATGTCTGTATATGTGGATGGAGCAACTTGTAGAGGAACCTGAACTTAGCTGAGAGTTAAAGTTACACTGGAGGGAGAATCCTTTGTGCTATAAAGCTGAGATCTGTGCTGCAGCTTGTTTCCTTGTGCTTATAATGGGACAAGGACACCTGAGTACTTTGGGGGCCTGAACTTTGCCCATTTGCTTTTTGCAGAATGTGGGTGTTCACACAACTATGGCTTTTGATAATCTTTTGAACTAACTTCCCTTACTATAGGCTCAGAATTGTTCCCTTGGGCTTCCCTTACATTATCAAAGCAATTGTTGACATCCCACAGGCACAAGCTCCTCACGGTGAAATACTACATTAATTTCCAGCCTGGTCCCTTACAGTGTGAGGAAGATACTCCTGTTTGTAGACATATTATTCAGTCGTTCCTGCTTTTATACACAAACCTGTTGATGTTTGCTTCATTTGCTATATTGAGCATTGATATTCTTGGTTTAGGGGTTGGGTAGAGCTTAGCAGATAGACAGGAATTGTTTGAGCAGCAGCCGGTGTTCTGAATACTTGTGGACTACTGAAATCTCTGCTGTTTGCTTGTTTGTTGGGTTTTTCTTTTTTTTTTTTTCGAACTTCCCAAAACCTGAAGTACAGGGTTCAGATGTGTTGCATTTCTTCCTGAAAAGATATCCTTCAGATGTGTGGTTCTTAGCTCCTGCTTTTTCCCAGTTCTTCATATCAAATGGGTCATTTTGTTTGGATGCTTGGGTGTTAGAACTAACTGTGCCACTTGCTTCAGACTATGGAAGAACGATGTGTTTTCAGACAGCTTCTTTATCTCATATCACCTTATGTAGAGCAAATCCTTTCAGCCTCTTTTCTTGTACCCTTTAAAATAGCACTGCCTCTGTGTTTGCTACTGCTTGTGTTTGACCACCCAGCAAAGTACATGGATTTCCCTGGCACGGGCTAGACAGACCATGACCTCGCTCTTTTCCGGTGTGGTTTTTGCGACTGCACAGGGTGCTAGAAGTGGGGGTGATGGACGTAGAAGTTTGAGTAGTTCACTACGTTCCACAACACACAGAAGAGTGCAGAGGAAGTCCCAGCATTAAGATCTGTTGCACATCCACTTGAATATGCACAAGCCTTTAATTTCTGCGGTTCTTGGTGGTCGTCTTTTTGATGCAGTGCTCTACTAAGCTTTTCCTGGTCAGAAATCGCACATCCAGGCATAGTGTTGTGAAAGAAGTCTCTGCCCCCTCCTTCCCCATGCTGTTTGTGCAGCTGCATGATAAATGGGGGTGGTAGAAAAGCAGTCCAGGAAGAAAGGGAATTCTTCAGCCAGATGCAGTTTTTATTACAAGAGGAAGGTAAGGGACAGGAATAAGCTAGGAAGCTGCCAATGAAAAGTGATTTGTCAAACGATTGCTTTACTATTTGTTGTAAAGGAGGAAAATACTTTGAACGTGCTGGTCTGAAATGTAAATCTTACTGCAAGAGATGTGTGGCATTTTATCCCATTTGGGGTGCGTGTGTGGCAGTACTTTGGATAGTAACTGGCAAGGGAGGTGAGGAATGACTTCAAACCACTTTCAGCTTTCACCCCTAAAAAGAATTGCCTGAAACAAGTTATGATCCACTTAGACTTGTCTGTTAAAACCTGTTTTAATGGTAGGGTGAAGGGAAATAGGACAGGTATTTTTGTGACTAGTCTTTGAAGTTGAATGTGGCCTGAGAGAATGCATGCCACCAACAGGCTAGCCAGTGCCCCTCAGTGAGGCATTCAGCTCGCATTTAAGCATCAGGATGTAGTACCAGCTAGTCACTTGGAAAGAGGCCTCTCAGAAAGAGAAATATCATCTTAAATTAATAAGACACAAAACCATAAATGGCAGCAGAATCACGACATGGCATCTTTATCAATAGGCAGTGTGGCTTGATGCTGTACATGCGGAGCATCATGTGAAGGAGGGAGGGTCCATCAGGCTGGTGTGTAAATGCTTAGAGAAAACTGGTAGAGAAAGGGTGAGCGTAACTGCTGCTGGTGATCTCCACACTGCACAGAGCCATCCATCAGACAGCTCTTCCAGGTGCTGCTTTCTGTGCCTCCCTGCCTGAAAGTAAGCTGTTGGCTTTCTTGTCAGCTGCTGTGTATTACAAAGAAACCCTACTGGGCATGATTGGCTTAGAAGTGTTGCACCCAGAGGGAAAAGACCAGCACCCCTGGAGCCTTTATCTTCGTTCTGCCTAGGTACAAACACGTCAAGTCTTGTAATGAGCTTTCCTAGAAAGCAGCAACTGAAATCTTATTCAGAAAGGCATCTCTGCCAGCTGTGAGAAGTGACAGTGCCTGTGAGTACAGAGTGCATCATCTGCGGCTGTAAATTGTGACAGGTTCCACTGCCTGGTGTGTCAGACTCGATGACATGTAGGGTAATAACAAGAAGCTATTTTTCCAAGGTCACCACCCAACTTTTTGCTTGAAAATGCATAGCTTACTGAGTGAAAGTGTGTTGCACAGCAAATAAGATGCGTACGTTGCTTTTGTACTTTGACTTTAATGTAGCTTATGCGTATTTTTCAGCTGCTTTTTATTTCCCTGTGTCATACATAGGGAGGTGTAGACTTATTTTTGCATGTGTTTTGCATGCCTTCTGCTTGCACACTGTTCACTGTGAATGATGTGTATGGCAGAATCTACTTAGGGTTATATTTGCCAATTCCTTTATCTGGAATCCTTTGCTGTTTTGCTTCTGGCATTTTTTAATGTCAGAAAACTGCATGTGTTAGCTGGCTGTATTTTCCTGCAGACTTGTCTAGAAATTTTTTACCCTGAAGTCAATTTTTTTTTTTCTGGAGCTTACGTTAGAGGCAAAGATTTAAGTTTGTTTGACTCGCGTAATCCTTCTGCTGCCTTGAGGACCTGAACTTGTGACAAAGTTCAGTCAAGATGTTAAGAGGTTGTGTGTTTTGGGTTTTTTATAATTGCACTGGTTTTGTTTCTGTTCTTTTGGTAAATGGTGAGTGAGTGTGCTTCAAAACAAAATAGATTCATTTTTTGGGGAGTACAGTGAGAAAATTACTTCTTGAGTCATGCGTCCGGTAGCAAGTGCACACACCACAAACACCACCGGTTTCAGCGCCTCAGTTTTGTAGCTACTGAAGGACAGTGGTTGCTATGTCATAAACTTACTCGCGAGTACTACGTACTGAGGAACTTGGTATCCAGCACTGACTCAGTTGTGCAAATAAATTGAAGTTGGGTACGTTCCAGTACCAGCCTGACTGCTGCACAGGCTGTCAGCTTGGTGAGGATTTCTGGTTAGTTTCTTTACCTAGAGATTCCGAAGGCTGTGGTGTGTATTCTAGAAAATGAGTGGTATATCACAGTGCGTTTACCGCTGTGATTAGATAGTCCAGCTGTTGGCGAATAGTTCTGAAAAAGAAATGTAGGAGGGCATTAGTAAATCCTTCCTTGGGTTAACATTCCTCTCAGCTTTTATAAATAATTCAATTCCTGTCTTCCAGGACAGGAAAGAGATTCTGCTTTTGCATTAAATGCTTTCTGTTAGCTCAGCATTAAGAGCTCTTAGTGTGTCTGCTAGTCTAAACAGTTAGGAAAACTGGTCATTGTCTTAGCAGATTTCCGACATCGAGACAGGGAAATGGATTGTGAATAAGCTACTGCTGGCTGAACAGATTTCTGATGTGGGTTTGAGCGTCCTTCCCCTGCTTTTGGGACACTGGTGAAAATATTTGCCGAACTGTGGACAGTCTGTTTTCAGTGAGAGTACTTGAAAGCAGTTTGGCAGACACATGAAAACATGCAAGCTTGTATTAAGCTTTAGGAGCAGCGTATAGGAGTGATGTTTGCACCAGGGGATGTGAGCAGTGCTGTCTGAGCATTGTCACTTGTGTCTTAGGCAGTTGTGTATACCGAATACAGGGGGGAGTGGTTATGCAGGTAACAGCAAAGTGGAAAGAAAATAGGTGTGGGGAAATGTAAAGAAGGGACAGTGTGGTGTGCAGTATCTTGCATTCCTACTGTCATTTCATCCTCTCGCATCTCGGAGTTGGGTATTTTTCCTTTTGCCTTTTACATTCCTGACTGACAACCTGCCTCTCATTTTTCTTCCTTCTGTGCTACAGAGGAGACAACTGTAGAAGATGATGAACCTGTCAAAAAGAAGAAAAAGAAAAAGAATAAGGAAAAGCAAACTGAAGAAGAGGAGGTACTGAATGAGGAGCCCCCCACCAGCCCCACGGTTGAGGTGAGGCAGCATTGCACAGCTACCTGATCCTTTATGGGAATGGTTCTCTTCAAAACACATGGAGTGTGGTGGTGCGGGGGAATATTCTTATCTGCATAACCCATGGTGTGCAAGGACAGTTTAGCAACTTCATCTCATGAAACCCAGTCCTGGGGTTAAATCCAAGGAGGCTTGCGTTACAAAACAAGGTCTGGGGAATTTGACTGTAATGCCTCCATGTACCAGGAGTGTTTCCCTTCCTCTCCTCTGCCCATCCCCAGCTTTAGTCTTCTCTCTTTCTACATCTTTTCTAGTGTGGAGGGTGTCCCTTGGTGCTGACCCACAGGCACCTGTCTAGTGTTTAGGACTTGCAGGAAGCAGAGGCTGTACCTGCTGAATCGATAAAGCATCATTTTTTGTTGTGGATGCCCCATCCCTGGATGTCTTCAAGGCCAGGCTGGATGTGGCTTTGAGCAACCTGGTCCTAGTGCAAGGTGTCCCTGCCCATGGCAGGGGGGTTGGAACTAGATGATCTTTAAGGTCCCTTCCAACCCTAACCATTCTGTGATTTTATGATTCTGTGATCATTTGATGTCTTCTAGCAACAGCAGAGTTTAGCACAGTTGTGCTGCCTGACAGCAGTGTGGCAGACAGCACTGCTTCCCTTGCCCACTGGCCCCACCATGGTGTAAACGTCGAGCGCGTTTAGTAATAGAGGCAGGGGATGGGCTAGGAGAGTGGGGGTTTTCAGCCTGGAGAAGAGAAGGCTCCACAGAGACCTCATTGCAGCCTTCCAGTACCTGAAGGGCCTACAAGGAAGCTGGGGGGGACTTTTTCCAAGGGCCTGTAGTGACAGGACAAGAGGTAATGGGTTTAAATTGAAAGTGGGGAGGTTTAGATTAGATATCAGGAAGAAGCTCTTCCCGGAGAGGGTGGTGAGGCATTGGCACAGATTGCCCAGAGAAGCTGTGGATGCCCCATCCCTGAAAGTGTTCAAGGCCAGGCTGGATGTGGCTTTGAGCAACCTGGTCTAGTAGAAGGTGTCCCTGGCCATGGCAGGGGGGTTGGAACTGGATGGTCTTTAGGTCCCTTCCAACCCAAACTGTTCTAAGATTCTGTGATCTCTTGGTCTGTGCTTTGCTGAGCATGGCAGCTGCTGTAATACTTTGAGTGTGAGCTCTGTTGCCTAGCTACATGTGTTGCTTTGCTTCTCCATTATGCTTTATTCACAGCAACATTTGTTGGTTTGCAGAATACAGAGAAAAAGAAGAAAAAGAAGAAGAAAATGAAAAATGAGGATGAAGACTGATGAGGAGCAGGGGTAAAGTTGGCCCTCAGATAGCCACTTCAGAGTAGCATTTCTTGACATATTATCATTAGCCTTATGCTGAAAACTAACTTCCATGTGTTGCAAGAAGGCAAGGAGATGGATTTCATAGCTGTCTTCTCCCCTGGAACAGGATGCACCAGTGTCACTGCTGTTTAGGAGGACTGCTGGCTTTTTGCTGTTTCTTTTGTTGAAAAGCTCACAATAGATCCTCTTTTCATATGCAGTGTCCACTGATAAGGAATAAAAACGTTTTCCTGGAGATTTGATGCCTCTGTTATAAGTCTTTTGCTTGTTTTCTAGCCATTATCATAACTACGTCTAAGATGTATTGCTTTAAATGAACGATCAGCAAAAAATTGCTAAATGTATATATGTTCTGCTGCAGTTTATTTTCTGAAGAATTCAAAGATAATATTCTTCAGTTCTCTATAAAATTGGTACAGATACCTCTGCATAACCTCGAAGATGCATTGAACATCTGAGGTGTGTTACTGAGTCTGTGCTGTAGTTGTGTGAAAGCCCTTTTTAAATCATCTTTCAAACACTTGGGTTTTGCTGCACTTGCTGGCAAGATTTGGAGGCATGTTTTGAACTAACCTGAGTTAGCTTCCACATGGCTTCTGTGGTGATTGTGGCAACTTTCTTCACTTGATTTAAAAGAGAGAGAAAAAAACAAAGCTCAGGGCAAAATTACTTCTTCAGCTGTCTGATAATGAAGCTGAATCATAGAATCACTAGGTTGGAAAAGCCCTTAGAGATCATCCAGTCCAACCGTATCTGTCCGCCACTAAACCATATCTTTCAGCACCTCATCCACCCGTCTCTTAAACACATCCAGGGATGGTGACTCCACCACCTCCCTGGGCAGCCTGATCCAGTGTGTGATAACCCTTTCGGTGAAGAACTTCTTCCTTACATCCAATCTAAACCTCCCCTGGCGCAGCTTGAGTCCATTCCCCCTCGTCCGATCATCTGTCATTAGGGAGAAGAGACCAACACCCACTTCTCCACAACCTCCTTTCAGGGAGTTGTAGGCAGTGAAAAGACAAGTGTGTGTTATTAGTACCAGAAATCAGCCATTTGCCAGTTCTGCCATTCTCTGTAGGGGATACAGATGCACTGAAGTAGCATCGTATGATCAAGACACTGAATCTCTTGAAGCTTTATGGTGGGAAAGGAAATAATTTTTATTTGGCTATGCTTGTCAATTAGTATTTTTTTTTTCTAGTTGTAGGGGTAGAAAATAGTGGTGTCTTTAACTGGGTAACATCTGGTAACTCTGCAGCCACCGTAGCTGATAATTTTCTGTGGAATGCAGCTTATTGATCAGCTCTTGGTGTTTAGATAATTTTCTGTGGAATGGAGCTTATTGATCAGCTCTTGGTGTTTAACTGCCTGTGCCTTACTTATCTGTTAGTGTAAGTGGATATACCAAATCCCAAACAAAATTTGCAACGGGTTTATTAATGCAGTTCTACCAATATCAAGAACATGAACTGCCTTTTCTTTTTCCCCCTTCAGGAAGGTTGCGGTGAGTGTAGCTGCTATAATTGAGAGGCTGGTTGAGGAGTATCCTGAAACAATGTATTGGGACTGTGCTACCATATTGCAACCGTCTCTTGTCCTAGGTGTTGTGTGGATCTGTCTGTCAGCAAAGGTAGTCAAAATTATTCATAATTAATTAAAAAACTATTCATAATGAGATGGAAGACTTGCCTATTAGTGCCTTTAGTTTCTTATTGTAAATGTGTTTTCAAACAAATTCTTACAGACATGAGAGTTCAGTTGCCTCTGAACTATTAATGTAGACGCTTCCTCAAAAGTATCAGATAAATTATGTATGTGCTGCTCAGAAACTGTCCTATATAATTTACCCTAATCAGAAAATTGGTATGAACATCACTTGCTTAGTAAGTCTAATCAGTGGGATCAAAAAGGAGTGAAGTTATTTTTGCACGGCCACTTTTTCCTTCCTTTTGCTCATGCCTTTGCTAGCAAGGGAATGAGATTGACCTCTTTCCTTACCTAGCACAACTGAGTGGTGTGTGCAGCGCAGGCCAGCTTCCGTCTCACAAGGCAGGCGGCTGGAGCTCGGTCGTGGAGCAGCATGTCTTGGCTGCTGCTCCTCCTCTGGCGTTGGGAGTGTCGATTTCCATATCAGACCAACTAGAGCCTCTTCAGAAATTCTGAAAGAGAATAAAGCAGTGCTGTAGGGTTTTTTTAGGTTTGAGGAGTGGGACTCCTTTGAAGGAAAAAAGGCACTGAGAGCTCAGTGTGTGTGACCCAGAAATACTGGGTGGAGAAACGAAAGCAAGATGTAAGATTTTTAGTCCTGGATAGACCATGAACTTACCTGCCACCGCCTCTTTTGAGCAGGTAAGGAAATAAGTACCCTGGGTTCTGGTTTGAACTGTTCCCCCTCTTCACAACAGTAAGCTGCACATCCCAGAGGGCTGCTGCTGAAACACCAATAGATGTATTCACCTCGAGCGCTAAATGTGGTCAGTGAAAATAACAGTGGTGGCAGGCAGCAGTCATTGTAAGCCAGGCTCGGCGTTTCAGTGTTGCTTATCGCTTCCAGCAGATAAGACTGGTTTGCTCGCCCATGGTTTTCCACAAACATTTGGTGTACGGTCTTGCACCTTAAAATAACTTCGGGGTATAGTTGGGAAATACTGTAACCTCTTGGCACAGAGAGGTGGTTCTTGTCCAAGGAGGAGGACAGGCCTTCACCCAGGCCTTTTCATCTTTTTACAGTGGAAGTTTAAGTCCTGAGGCTTGTACAGCTTCTCTTGTGGAAAAGTAATTGTGCAACAGGGCATTTTGGTAGAGCCTGTGCTATCCGGTCGCTAGTCTTTGTGAGGAAGTTGATCAATCTAAAAATGGATTTTAAATTTTGTTTATTGATAAAACCAAACAAAACCCCCAAACTGATGTTACATTAAGAGTAGATGCTTTGGGTTACTTGAATGAAGGAAGAGCAGCTAGCCACACTGATGGTGGCACTTCAACCAAACGGGGAGATGTGTGGAACAGAGGAATCTAAAATGTTTTAATGCGATGCTTAGAGCATTGTGTCAGTGTGGGTTACTCCACAGCAGCGCCAACAGTGAATAACGGCGGAACTAGGACTAAGCCTGATGAATGACAGTGTTTCAAAGGGGGTGGTTGACAGTTTGGAAGCCTCTTGTACAGGTTCCTTGCGGGCTTAAACCCTCTGTCCCCATGTCCTGCACATATGACGTGCACTGTGCTCGCTCTGCTTTTGACAATCTAGTCCCATGCCGATGGGGAGCTGGAGGAGCAGCCTCCGTTGCAGCCCAAGTTAATTCTCAATTTCTGTTTTTTTGGTGGAGTTTCCTGCTACTTGTTTTCCTCTTTGGAACTGGGGACCTGTGCACTGTGCCCACTTCCCTACTCTGCTGGGAGGGCGCCAGCAAGCATAGGAGCTGCTTGCTGTCTGTCCCTACTGGGGCACCTTCTCACCAGAGAGACGTTATCTGGCTTTTTTCCTAGCTACTTTGCACTATGAAAGCTGTTATCAGGAAAATGAGTGTTTTCTTCAGGCTAATGCTGTAGTCTTTTGGAAAACGTGTTTGGGGTTTTTTTGTTTTTCTTTGCTACTTGGAAATTTGCCTGGTAGTGTTCCCTGTGCATGAGGATTTGTTTGCATGGGACCACTGGGGGAAGTGGCCACAGCCCTGTCCTGACCCGCAGCAGTCCCTCACCCCAGTGCCCACTGGCCATGGATGTGCACTTCTTTCCAGACATCTCCTGCTGCACGCGGGCATCTTGCTTACTCCAGCCATCCACAGATTGTTCCTCCCACCCATGGACACGCACCTTGAGCGTGTCTTCCCTGTGTCCATGCCTATGGGCAGCAGCTCTTGTTGGGTGTCAGAAGCCAAGTGGAGGGACCCTGGTTTTCCCCACCACAGGGCATGGGATGGGCAGGCACCCTGCACTGCTGCTGGCACTGGCCCTTCTGCTCCAGAGACAAGCTCTCCAGAGCTATCCCAGGATTTTGTGTGCCCCTGCAGTGAGAGGTGCCTGCTGAGACTGAGATGGAGACAGGGGACATAACTTCTCAGGGGTGACGAAGCCTGCATGCTGGGAAGGGACAGAATTGCTGTTGGTTTTCAGGTGAAACCTCCAGCTTGCCCATCATCCCTCTAGAGCTGTTTCTGGACATGGAAAATCCTGCGAGTCAGCTTCCTGCTGTCTGTGCTGCCTCCTGGTGCCAGTGTGCCCCTGCAGTGAGGCTTCACTTTCTCTGGAAAAAAATAATAATTTTCTTATAAACTATAGACAGCTCAGCAGTAGCTTCATGTCCTCCCCATGGAGAAGCACAGCAGCATGTTATCTTCTGGAGTAGTTCAAAATTTTGAATAGAAATCTTACTTTACTAATGGTCAGGGTCGGACCCTGTGCCTCTCGAGCCGCAGGGTATGATGGGCAGCCCTCGGCATCGGTCAGCTTTGCCTTGCCCACAGAGCTGGTGATGCCCTGAGCCGGAGGGTGCTGCCCAATGCTCTGCCCACTCTTATGCTTCATTAGCTCCTGTTAGAAATCCAGCAGCTTCGACAGTGAGCGCCCGTCCTCCACGGGTGAGTCCTAGCTCTGGGCTTTTGTTCTCTTTTCACATCCTTTGCATTCTGTCTTATTTCTTAAGCAAAAGGTTATTCCTGTCGCAGCAGTGAGCATCTCTATGTTCAATGACTCTGTGTTTTCAGTAGTATTAATCTACAATATAAAGATTTTCTGATGTTCAATTTCTCATTCCAGCTACCGGCTAATGGAAACAGCAATTTTGTCTCTACAGACCTCTAGCAAAATACAGTGAGGGACAGATGGTGATGTGCTGCAGCAAGATTTGAAAGCCACCATGGAGAGAAAGGACAGGGTGGGACTGAAGTGCTGGGACAGAGAAGTGGGAGAGCTGGGCCAACGACGAGGAAGCCTAGAAGGGCTCCAGTTCCAAGGGAAATGAGGTAGAGAAACTCCTGTTGTTTGGATCACAGCCCATTGCGTTTGCCACCTTTAATCTCTGATCTTCATATTCCACCTCTTAAAAACGAGATAA